GTCAGCACTGTCGTCATCCAACTACAAGATTTTATCCAATCAGCGGGAGGTGTTCCTACGTGACGGCGGTGACAGTTTTAGAAATAAATGCCAGTGCGACGCCTTGGACTTGGGCGAACATCCGTTGGAGCCGTCCCCACAGCATTTCTATTGCTCCCTGGCTACCTATGACAACCTTACGACTTTCCGTGGCCCCTGGCACAAAGAAGAGCCAACCGGCACCCATTGGATACCGCGGAGCGATGCCTCATCGTCTGTTCCGGTCACTCCTCCAACAGCGGCTGCCTGTGCTCCACCTTTGGTCACGTCGGCCGGCAGTTCGGATGGTACTATGCACAAAATCATGCCGTCTGTGTTTCCAGTATGGATCCCGCGGATGCAGGTCGTTCGCAACGGTGCAGCGTCCAATATCGTTGTACCCGTGAAAAATTTTCCCTACTCTTCCGATTTCGCCGCTCAGTCGCTGTCGTCGCCCTCTTCGTCTTTTACGTCACCGCCACCCCCTCCTTCATTGCGACAGGTGCACAAGAATGAAGGAATCACTTCCTGCCACGACACCGTCCCTATAGTTGTACCTTCGACCTCTGCCAGAAGTCAGGAACAAAACGAGATGATCCGAAAACGGATGTATCGCATTGCACTCAACTTTTTCAACAAAAAGCCGGAGCGCGGCATCCAACTGTTGGTTCAGTACGGATTTGTTGACGGTACCCCGGCAGCAGTAGCCAAATTCCTTCTCGTTCGCAAAGGACTCAGTCGACAGATGATTGGCGAATTGTTGGGCAACTTGCAGAACTCGTTTTGTATGGCCGTTCTTGAGTGAGTATTGACCGATCGATCGACCTTATTTGTTTCTTTTCTCGTGTAAACAACCGGTCGATGATGGTTTGTCTATATATTCATTCTGAAGGTCGACCTGGCAGTTTTGTTAATGTCGTTTTATCAGTCAGTGAACGCACAGCAGTTAATGTCAGTTTGACTCTCAGTTATCAGTAATCAGTTCACCTGTTGATAATATTGTTATGGTACCCATAGCACCAATAGCTCTATGTTAACGACAGATATCATTACTACTATTCAACGTTGGTACTGTACTATTTATACGAATAGTTGTACTGTTAATATATGTAACGCAGCGCCAGCGCTGGATGTTAATAAACGTGACAGCGTGATTCTGTTACTTTCTTCTGAAGGGCCATGCCATACAGATATTAAGTATAAATTTCTGAACAGAAATATTGTTTCATTTTTTTGACGTTGCGGTTTCATTGCACAGATTCCTTTCTTCGGTAAATATCGTACTATGATGAGCGTTAAATAAGATTTACGAGGATATCCGAAACGTAATTATTTCCTAAGTAACAAAAGAAACAAATCAAAGTAGATAAAATAAGCCTCTTAAATACTGTTGCAGTTTTTATGTAATAAATAAATACTTCCTGATGGTTCGTAGAAATAAAAATAGGCAATTTTAGGTGGTTAATAATAGTTCATTTCAGCTACTTTGTCAGTGAAATTGACATGCATGATTTGGAGATCGATGTGGCATTGCGACTGTTCCAATCACACTTCCGTTTGCCTGGTGAGGCGCAGAAGATTGAACGCATCATGGAAG